ACCCTTTGACCCCGGTGTCCGGGTCCCCGACCTGCTGACCGCACGCATGCTAAAAGTGTGGTCGCACCACCCACCACCCACCACCCACCATCAGCACCACCCCCAGGTGTGGGCTCGGTGGCGCTCCGGTGACTTTGTGGCCCCGCAAAAAGTTCCGGCCGTAGTTTGTTGTTCTCGGCCGTTGTTTTTGACAGAAAATTGCCAGGAATTGCCGTTCCAGAATGTGTGTTTTTCTGTGTGTGTGTGTGTCTGGTTGTGAAGAAGCCTCCTGCCGGGAGCCTGAAGATGCTGCAAGATGCCAAGATGCCAGGTAACAATACCAATACCAACAGCACTTAGCTCGGCCGCAACGCAACGCAGCTATGCAATCACAAAGTTGCCACCGCCACCATCGGCCATCGTTATCGTCCTTGCCACTGATTGAAATTCCTTGGCCGGGTTCTAATAATTTTCAGCATCATCCCGGCAACGGGATCACAACTTGTGCCCGGATAGTTTTCATCCAAGTTATTGTTATTACCATCAAAATCAGGCTCCTTCTATGGCATCATCATCACAGCTGGAAGTCACTCATCTGCTGGTGAGTCTCAAGCTTGCCTTTGTACTCTATTTTAATTTTTTGGCCTTTATAAAACTTTATTAATGTAGAATATAAATAATAAAAAGAAAGAGAATTTTAAATTATGCTACAATATGGTTCCTTAAAAAGAAGTAATTCATTTATTACATATATTTTGTAGTTAATGAATAAAAAATTTAAAATATATGTGTATTAACTATGGAAAAACATATCCTGTTGACTAAAGTTATAATATCCCACAAGGGTAGTATATTATCAAATAAAAATGCAAATTTCTTAATGTATTCTCTATTGATGAAATAAATAAAAATATATTTCTAGCCTGTAAAACGAAATACCACACTTCTTTGTTGATTATTCAAAGAAAGTAAACATTAATGACAAATACTTTTCAAGAACTATTTATTAATCCCTTAATAATATGTTTAAACCTTAAAGTTTTATAGTTAGAGTATTCCAAAACCTCATCCATTCCAAAATTACCTTTTTCAACTTGTTCTAATTATTGTTGTTGCTGGCATTGTTGAGGATACAATAAAGTCTGTTGCTGAGCTTTCTCCCACAGACTTGCCAATATTTTCCTTCCGCATTTATTCAAGCATCGCAATTGAGGTTTTTGATTAGTTTTTACTTTCCCGTTGCAACTGGGGAGCCATTGATTGCGTATTCTTATTATTGCCGGGCTGCACTCAGAGTCCATCTGGATTTTTCCCCTTTTTAATATCTCGAGAATGTGTTGGAAAAATGGCTGGAGAGGCCACTCCAACAATGGATTGGTTAGGGTGCAGAAGCAAAAAAATGTAATGATAATAAGCTAGGGCTTATAACGAGGATTAGGAATGTAGTTATTTAAAAAGTTTATGAGTTTATAAGCTACAAGTGAAGAAAAGCAATGTTGCATCTTTAATAAGCAGAAATCTAGAAAGCATTAGGAACTTGACTTGTTGCTTATGAAACTATCTGTATAATATTTAAGGTAATAAACAAATACATTTTCTACATCCTTTTTACAATAGTTTGCATAAATCTATATTGAATACTTTTGGGCTTTCGCATAATCATCATAGAAAGCTTGGCTCTCTATCCAACTTTTACCAGCTTTAATGACTCTGTTAACAGACTGGTTTTCGACTTAAAAAAAGCGACTGAGTTTTGTTGATGTTTCGATATATTCACAGACTTTGGTTTCAAGTCTTTGTCCCCAGTATAGTTTCTTACTCTTTAGTTTTTCCAATGCGGCAAAGTTATGACTGTTTGCATTGCGAGTACGTGCAGACGACTTGGTTCCTTTTGCTGATTGAATGGAATTTTGTGCCGGCTTCCTGTTTGTTTGCGGTTGTCGCCTGGGAAGTGTTGGCACTTTTTGTGAGCTGCCAAATGCCAAGTTGAAATCCCAGTCTAGACGCTATCGAGGCATGTGTGGCGCTCAAATATTTGCTGGTCTTTTAAACTCACCTTTAGTTATTTAAGGCGGTTGTGTCCATAGAAGATCAAATTGCCAGCCGCAGGAAATTCCGCCCATTAGCGGCTTAAGCGATTTTTGTGGAACTAACCCTTGTCAGGTGCAGTGTCAACAAGGATACTCAGGAATTTTTCTTTTGCCGGGGATAGTAGGTACTAATTCAAGGTCTCTAAAATATATTAAAGACTGATTTAAATGAACTATGATTTTAAATATTATTATTAATAAGTTCTAACCCTTCACATTTTTTATAAAATGTACATTAAATATTTATCTATAAAACTAATAATTCCTTTTACACCTTTTAAAATATAGGTAGTACTTCTTAGATTCACTTTACTTCCTCATTTTACTCCCCATGCTTGCATTTTTCCACCATTTTCCTGGCCAGAGTTCATCTGAAATTTCCTCCCTCGATCTTGCCTTATCTTTGTGTGCTTTTGACATTTCTGCGTTCAGTTTTGTGTGACAAGTTTTCTGTGGTTCACTCGGGGCCACTTTACGGCGTGTCAGCTTCATCTGCATACCAGCCTCCAAATTTTGTCCTTTTTTTTGGGTGGATAGACCAGGGGGTGGACCAAGGGGTGACGGCCTATTTCACACTTTTATAGAACATTTTTGCCAATTGTCTGGCGACGTTCCGACGTACTCGTGGTTAGCCTGGGTTCTTCTTCTATTTCTTTTTTCCCCCTGATTCATTCGCTTTCTTCGCTGCGGAAGTTTGCGCAATTTCCAAAAGCGGAAATGCAATTTTCGGTTCAGCTGCATTTGTCTCGCAGTGCCACGCCCTCGCGCCCTCGCGCCCCTTTCGGCCGCGACTTGGGCGGCTTGCCAACACATCGTATATCAAACGCAGAGTTGGCAGCCCCTGACAATGACATGCAGCGAGCGTTCAGCCAAACCAGAAAAGGCCGACAGCTTTCCGGGGCGGTGTGGGGAGTGCTGGAAAATTGGCGGAAAAATGGGTGGCGAATAGGCGCTTCGCAGTTCGAAAATAAAAAGGCCAGGTCCTGCAGCAGGAGCAGCAGCGTGTGTCACGCCTTTTGTGGCCAGATCGTAGAATTTATTTTCCACACTCCCTCTCTCTGTGTCTGTGTTCCGTTTTTCGAAGCTCTTTTGTGCCGAAAGTACTTTTATTTATTTGCATATAAATTATTCAATTGTTCCCTTGCTTATCTTTCTTGCTGGCTGGCTCGGCCCTCCGCTGACCCCCCGGCGGGGAGTCTATCAAAATTCTGAATGCATTTGCAATTGCAATCGCAATTGATTTTTGATATCTCTGTGGGCGTGGCACTGAACAATTTTTGATTTACGATACTGCACTTGGCAAAAGTCGGGCTAACTTGTACACTGGCCAGTGTGAAAAGGGGGCGCGGCTTTAAGAGCAGGGCGTTCGATTTCCTGTTATTTAACACGCATTAAGAAATTCTGCTGAGCTCACGTACAGCTCTTGAGATTTATGGGGAAAAAGTACTTCACGAAATGCATAAATAATGTTGAGCTCAACTGGAGAATTATTTCCACAAATAATTGTATGAATAAATATGGTTCGATTGAATTAAATTCAAATTTTAACTGCATTTGATTGGGTTGCCATGAAATTCATTATCGTTTTGCAGGAACTCTTAGCTTGGTGAATATTTATGTAAATATCCTTGGGTCATGCATTCTTTCTTACTATTTCATCCTTGTTATTCTCGAATTTCAGCCGAGTTTTCGCCGTTTCCATTTCCGTTTCCGTTCGACACGTGCGCTAAACGGTTTGTCTGTACTCGTCCTCGTCCTGCCACGCCTCTCGCCCGTCGCCTCTCGCCCGTCGCATCCTTCCAGATGTCAAATGTCAACTGCAGCATCGCAGCATCGGCCTCCGGGACGTGCTCTCCTTGTTTGGCTGCGTAAACACATTGGCAAGGCTCTTATTTTTCGCCCGGCGAAAACACGCCTCAATAACATTCAAAACTCGAGACGTGCGAGGCCTTGGCTTGTCACCGGGAAATACTTGTATCTCCTAATATCTGCTAGGCGCTACATGTGTTGTAAATTTATTAGCTGTCATATAAATCTTTGCGCTCGGCCACCCTTCTGCGAAACGTGTGTGAGCTCTGGGTCCTGGATGGGGGAGGGGGCTCCTGCCTGTTTACGGCCAGATAAGGCATTCGGAAGGAACCCTTCTTCGGTTCCTTATTTTCATTTTCCATTTGCATAAATGCGGCTCGTACTTAAGGAGATTCATCATATTTTTTGAACTCCCCCCTTAATTGGGTACAGTCCCGTCTACGGCCCAATGCCGACAGGGTTGTCACTGTCATTTGCTTAATTAATATTGCACCTAAGCGCAGGCCATATATATCTTTGAGTCGAGTTAAGCATCTATGCGCCGGCAGCCACATGTGTGTTTTTCTGGGAGCCTCGTTGGCAATTTGCAAAGTGCCTGCGTAGGGATTGCCTTGGCAAGGACGGTTTTCAAGGACTGTTTACCAAGCAAATCGGAAAGCTAAGAAATGAGAGCAGCTTTTCCGAAGGACTCTTATTAGAAAAGGTAGCTGCCTACTCAGGCGAAGGTTCTTTGGTTTTTATTGGTTTTTACCAGCAAACAATATCAGATAATTAATTAAAGCTACAAGGGCAAAGCTATATGAGCAAAGATGCAATGTAGAGTAAGATGCGTAACACACATTTTGTTTGGATTGTTCGACATGCAATTTAATATTTATATTGTGTTTGGTTTGAAGAAGAATGCCTAAAATATTGTCTCTTAACAGAGACATTTTTATCGTCTGATGTAGATATTGTACAAATAAATTTCAAGTAAAGAAAATATAAATTATTAATAATAATATATTTATTACAATTGTATTAAATGCATTGTCTTAAATATTTTACATAAATATATAATAACTACTATAGCTGTATATTTTGGCACGCTTTTTCCTCCGCAACTCAACTTGGCCGGGGGGCTCACTGCGACTCCGATGGCTCTGCCTGCTTGAGGGGATTACCCTTGTCGTCAATCTCCATGGAGGGCACTAATGGTGGCTTGAACCCATATTCCAGCTGAAGGTTACGACCAAAGTCGGGACTGCGTTTCAGAGAGTGACCGTTGCGCCAGCGCTGGAACTCATCGAACTCGTTGGCCAGCGATGAGTCGCTAACTCCTCCAGAGGAGCTTGTTGCCGGAACGGGGCCGATGTACGACTTGACCATCTGGGTGGGAGCCGAGGCAGCGGCAGTGGCCAGGTCGGCGGGCAGGGTGTTGTATATGTAGCGGGCACCCTGCAGCCAAGGCGAGCCCAGCGGCGGTGGGGGTGGACGAAGGTCGAATCGCATATCGGCCAGACTGAAGGTGGCCACCTTGGGTGCCTCTCCCCTCACCGGTTTCACGGGCTGATTGGCAGTAGCTACCACTGGCTTGCTCAACTTGATCGCCTTGGATGGAGACTGGGAGGCAGGAGCAGGGGGGCCTTGGCCGTCAGCTGTGGCAGCAGCTTCTTTAGCATCCGGGTGTAGTAATTCTGCAGCACCTTAGGCGGAATGTGAGCCACCGAATGGGACCAGGGAGCCAGGGCATTGGGATGGCCATGATGGCCAAATGGCAGAGAGGAGTGACTGGGCGGCATGGGCATGTGAATGGCCACGGGCACATGAATCGGAATGGCCATCGGACGGTCCACGAACTTCTCCACGATTTTCTCCACATGCACTGGTTTCTCCACGATGCGTTCCACCTCCACGGGCACGTGCTTCTCCACAATCTTCTCCACTACCGTTGGTACGGGATAGGGCACCGCATGCTCCACGATGGTCTCCACGGGATAAGGCCGATCCACATAGTGCTCCACATGGACTGGCACAGGCACAGGCTGGGGCACGGCATAGGGTACGGGTATGTGCTTCTCCACCACTTGCTTCAACTTATCCACGGGATAATGGGGCTCATGATGCTCTAAGTGATGGTGATGCTCCTGATGGGGCTCCTGAATTACCACGGGATGTTCTTGATGTATCACTTGCTGATGTTCTTGATGAATCACTGGGTGGTCATGCTGAATTTTATGTTCCTGATGAATCACTGGGTGATGCTCGTTATTAATTACTGGATGATGTTCGTGATGAACTTCATGATCCTGATGAATCACTGGATGATGCTCGTGATGAACTTGATGTTCCTGATGAATCACCGGATGATGTTCATGATGAATCACCGAATGATGCTCGTGTTGGATCTGATGTTCCTGATGTTCAGGATGATGATCATGTTGAATATGATGTTCCTGATGAATAACTTTATTCCCCTGGATGTGTTCCTGGTGAGCAGGAGCATAAATGGGTCCCGGATGGACTGTTTGCTGTGCGGATGCTGGGCAGAATGCCCCGAAGGATGACCCGTATCCAAGTGTACAGTGGCGTGTGAGATGGCCACCTCTTGGGGCGAGCTATCGTACTCCACGTGAATGGGATTCTTGGCCAGAGAGGCGTAGTCTTTCGTCGGAGCAGGTGCAGGGGCTATAGCTGGAGGGACAGGAGAGTGTAGATAGGGCTGATGGTAGATGGTCTCGTGCTGCTCCACAAGGCGTCCATCCTTCTCTGTGATCAGTTTGTTGTGGATATTCACTGACTTTTGTACCTCCACGAAGGTATAGCCATTCGGCTGGGAGGAATGAGACTTCGCCGGGGCCGGAGCATGTTGGACGTGCTGCTGGGAGGGCTCAGCCGCTGCCTCAGACACGTAATCGTGAGGAGCTGGATGATGCACGGTGATGTCAACTCCTGGTTCGTGGGATGCGTGAGCATGAGCTGGTGCTGGTGCTGGTGAGGAGTGCGGGGGACTGGGAGTGTTGAGGGTGACAAAAACCAGGCTATTGGGAGTGGCCGAAACCGGTGTGGGACCCGCATAGCCAGAATAGTGCTGCACTTCAGGGGAGGGTGAGGCAATGGCCTTGGTGTAGAGAGACTCCAAGGGCTGATACGACTGCTGTTGGGGCTGTTGATGTGGCAGCTCCTGCTGCACCTGGGGAAGAACCTGGCTAAGTTCCTGTTGGTATTCCAACTGGGCAGCAGGTCTCGTAAAATGTCCGGCATAGTTTCCTTCCTTCGGCGGCCGTGAACTCGGCAGCTGGGGAGGATTCTGCACCTCGTAGTGGAAGCTGCCTTTCGGCAGAGGTCCCTCCCCACTGCCCGAGACAATGGGCTTGAAGGATTTGAGGAACTGCCTCGAAGGCGCTTCGTGGCTCTGATGGTGCTGCTTAAAGCGCTGCTCGCTGTGCGCCTGGTAGTGATCCAAGGCGATCTGGGGCTGTATCTGCGGCTGGGACTTCTCTGGGGTTGCCTTTTTAAAGGGAAAAGTACAATATATTATTTATTTTCACAAAGGCTTAGAAGCTACTTACCTTTCCCTCTCCCTCTTGAGATTTGCCCAGCGTTGCGTCATGCACGATGTGCACATTGATCTCTTGGTCCTGGCCAGGACCCTTTTGGTTCGCATAGCTCTCGATATCGTTGTGACTTGGAGCTGGCAGTCGCTGCTGGTAGGCCTCCCGACCCACATGGCGTGTCTCCGCGATCTGGTTGTCTTCGATCTCGGTATTTTCCTCCACTTCCACATCGTGTTCCCCAAGAATCACGATTGGAGCACTCTCGGCCGCCACCAAGGTTTCGTTGTCATCTCCCTCCGGTCGGAGGAGCACACTGGGCAGCACGGGAGCTGCCACTGCTGCCCGATTGATCCTTAGCAGCTCGTCCCGGGAGATGTGGTTACTGCCATCGCGGAAACCAGGTTCTCGGATCTGTTCCACCACGATCTCGGTGTGTCCAGGCCGCAGTTCTCGACGGTACTCCTTGGTCACCGTGGTTTGGTAGCTATAATAGGTTTCATTGGGGGCCTTGCCCACACTTGGAGTTTCTGTGGTAGATGCTTCGGTGGTGGTGATAGCCTCCACTGTGGGTCGTACCACAGCCTTGTTGGTGGTTGTAGCTGTTGTGGTGGCCGGCTCCGTGTTGGTGTCCTTACCGCTGAAGCGGAATATGTCCGAGAATCCATTGGGAAACAGATTGGACAGGACTTCGTTCACGGTGTCTGTTCGGGAGCGAGTTACAGTCTGCTGAATGGGCTTCTGACGACGCACTACCTCCACGGGCAGCTCCTCGTTAACCTCGAACTGAATGTAGCCATGACCATTGGTGGGCGTGTCTGGAGTCCTGGGAGGGAGCACAGTGGGCAGGAAGCCAGGCACACTGAGAAGGAAGAATGAGTTTACAAGTGCTGGCAAGGAAAGGTGTCACGGAAAAGGGAACTTTAAAGGTTTAAAAGAAATCAGTTAATGCAAGGGGAAATGAATTTACTTAACAATTGGCAAGGAGAAAATTTCATTAGAGCTTCTGTGACACCTGAGGATACTTGTAAATGGCAAGTTTTTTATTTGTGATTACTTACCCGACAAACTCCGCTTCCCTTTCCGTGGTTAGCGATTCAAAATCCGGCTCCTCCGGCACTTCACTGCCCAGGCTGGAAGGGAAGCCTTCGATGACCTCGCTGGCTACGGATGGCTGCTCCTCTTCTGGCTGCTTATTAAGCTGTCAAAAGCGACGCTCATTGCCTGTCAAAATCTTTCACTAAACTCGGACTCACCTCCTTGGCGCTGCTGCTGTCACTCACGAGAGGTCCTCGGGTCGCATTCTGGGTAGCGGGACTGGGAGCGGGAGTGTCAGTGGATGCCGATGAGAGGGCCGGCTGGACGAGGATGATGGCCAGCAGACAGCCGAGCGTTGCCGCTGTCGCTAGCAGTGGTTGTTGGCGGTGGCGGGGCCACATGGAGCTGTTGCGGAAATGGCCAAAAGCAGAAAGAGTTAGCTCGGGCTGGCTAACGGGCAGGGGAGCTAGGGGGAGTGTTGTGTGTGTGCTGTGGTGTGAATAACCCCGCAAAGCACGACAAATTCCAAGCGAAACATTCGGAGGAGCAGCATCAGCGGCAGCGGCAGCAGTCAAGCCTGTTTTGGCCCACTCCAAAGGCAATCCTCCCGACTACTATGGCCACTCACTTGTCGGGCTGTTTGATTTCATCCGATACGATACGTCGCTGGATGATGATTTTTCCTAAGTGGCTGCCTTGGCACTTTGGCGCTTTTCTTTCTCTTTCGCGGCCCGCGCGAGAGATTTTCCCTAGAAAAGTTGTTGAACTTGACGTCGCGCTTGCGTTTGCGTTAGTGTTCGCTTTGGGCTTATGTCATTGCTACTGGCAACGTAATGAATTATTAATTAGCCCCCCGGAGCAGCGCCTCTTCGCCTGCCGCCATTTAATTTGGAAAATTGAAATTGATGGCATTTAAAATGGTTCGTACGGGTTTTCACATAGTTTGGCCGCCGCCGATGCTGCCTGTATTTTGATGGGCATTAAATATGCATGCCAAAACATATTTCACCTGCAATATTCATGGCTAAGTGGCCTTGGGTGCTTTTGAGCCGGTCTCGTTTGTGGCCGAGAGGATGCAAGAAAGTGGAGCTTTAGAGGTAGGGAAATTGTTGCATTAATTGTGTATACAGATAACCGTCTCAACGGGCGGCAATTAAATGCTAAACTCACCCAGGCCGAGGCCTAGGCAAATCCTTTTTGATTGGTATTTTGAAGGAGCCCAAGTTGCATGATTATAATTGTCGAAAATAATACCGTTTTCCTCTTATTAGTTCTATTAACTCCTCGTTCAGCAACAAATCACAAGCCAATTTCAGCCGCTGCTAAACTCAATTTGCACATTTAAATGGGGCTTTTGCTCATTTTGCACAATTTCCACTGTTAAATGGATTTTAAAACCATTTTGCTGGCCGATTCATTCATTCATTTACCTGCATCCATTAAGTATTTGCGCGACGGGGTGGTGGCTTTTATTTATTCCGACGGGATGATGCGAAAAAAACACTCAATTATTTATATTGATTGCGCGCCCAATTAAAACGCACTTATAATCACTTTTCTATTCGATTAAAACAATTGTAATTCTCTGAGTATTCCGATGGCACAAAGGTTATGGAGTGAGTAGTGTACACTGAGTATGTTTTCGATGCGACTCCGCTGCTTTCTGCGACCCTGCCAGCTGCGCGTGCGCGTTGCGAATGAAAGTGAAACCGTCTTGCACTGAGCATTTCGTTTTCTTTTCGTGGTCGTCGTCGTCGTCGTCGTGGGTTGCAAGTTGCTGTCGTCGCCGATGTTGCCGCTGCTGCTGTTGCTGCTGCAGCCTCCGCAGATGTTGCTGCCGATGTTGCTGCGATCCTTAAAGTGTAGCATAAAACTTGTCCAGCCGGCGATTGCGCAAGAGCCACCGCCGCCTGTCCATCTCGCTCGCTCCTCCGCGGCAGTGACATTTTTGTGCTTTTTTTTATGGCTTTCTACGGCGGCAGCATTGACCCTGCCAAAAAATTGCCAAGACAGCTAGCGCGGGAAATCGACTCAACTGGTTTTTCCTGCCAATGACAGCGGGGGCAATGTGGTCAAAGCCCCAGCTGGGGCCCAGGGCCCCCTTCTGGGCCAAGAGAAAACCCTTAAGGCCCTGACACAGATGCGTCTCTCTCTCTCTCTCTCTCTGTGGCTTCTTGCATTTCCTTGCCTCATAATACGCACGATGCAATTATCGCATTTACCTTGCACACCTGCCGCCAGTTCGATCACCTGTGAACGCATTGTTTCCCTGCATTTTCCGACGCTTCTCCTGCCATTTTCATTAATTTTTAATGAGGCGGTATTCGGTACGGCATCCGACGTCCGTCCGGCGTTGTTGTGGAGCGTTTGACGTTTTCAGCTGATTGATTAATGTGGATGCGGTTTTGCACTTGCTTTTTATTCCTGTCTGATTTATTAAAATGCGACTTTTTTATTTATGCTTTGGTAATTCAGTTTATTTATTGCATATTTAATGATATCGTTTTTCACTTTGAAGATACATATATTTTTATGGCCAAATTATTTGAGTTGAGGAATTGAATGAATTTAAATGGAAATAAATTTAAACGTCTCTCTCGATTGGCCATCGAATGGAATTTGGTTTGAATTAAATGGAAAAGGAAAATATTCCCGAAAAACATGGTTATTTTAATTTAAATTGGAATTATAGAGACATAAAAAATGTATAATTTATTGAATATCAAAGATAAAATAACCATTCCAAAAATTCTCTTCTGATCTAGGTAATTCTACATTATAGAAGGAATAATATTTTCAAGAAGAAAGAGCAGAGATTTTGACTTGGTAAGTATACATTTTACTGCTTTAAAGAAAATACATTTAGTAGATTGAGCATAAAAATATGAAATATGTTTTCAGCACAATAGTCAGTTGTAAATGTAAAGAGAGCTCTTTATGATGATATCAACTTTTAATGTCACTCGCAAAATATCACCGAAATATCAGTAAAATGTGGGGAAAGCGGTTGTTCTATTAAGGCTAATGCCGCCATTACATCGCAGATATAGATCCAGCGATCATTCCGGTGTGATTTATGGCCTCCATAATCGGTTAGCTTCTTTATCTGTTTGCATCTCATTAAAGACATGTTGCATGCCTCATGCACACACATTTTGACTTTCACCAAATGCTGAGCTGCAATGGCAATTGAAACTGAAACTGAAACTAAAACTGGAACTGGATCTGGAGCTGGAGCCGAGATCACCGCTTTTTCGGTTGGCATTTCCTCCGGCCTTTTCCGCCACCAGTCTCGCACCAAAACTCGGAGACAATTATGATGAAAAGCGATTGCATAAGCGAGTGTCGGTGCAAATCCAGAAAATCCCAAGCCCGAGAGCTCCGGGGAAATGCGAGCCATAAATTAGCATGACCACCAGTTCGGACCACCTCGATTCCCGCAAATTTTTACTTGACTAATTTTCGCCGGATCAGCATTTGGGAAAAGTGTAACAAAAGTCGCAGGTTGGTTTCCTTCCGCCTGGAAAAAAATAAAATCAACTTGTCGATGGGAAAAGTCCACACGGCCACTATTGCCGCATTTACAAAATGTTCGAAAAGTTGGCAAAGGAAATCTCTCAGATGCCTTGACCACAACTGAAATTGGCCGATGAAAATGAAAATGAACCAAAACAAAAAAAAAAAAAAGAAAAGAAATCGCAGAAATTGCGGAAAAATCTATTAAAAGCGATTCGCTTAATTTCATTTGGCGGCACTGCTCATATTCAGCCATTGTGCTTCCCCGTAAGGCGCATTCGGGCGGAAAAGGCGGCTAATTAAGTGCGCAGGGCAAATGAAATATGAGTGAAAAAGGTAATTACAATCAATGGGACCAATGGGCGGCGGGGCCTCAGACCAAAAGCCAATTTCATGCAACAATCAATCAAAAACAATTTTTAATTTTGCGTTAACAATTTTCAGGCTGATCTGCTTTTTTCTTCGCGCATTTCATTCATATTTTTTTGCCACGCTTTTGGCCATTGCGTTGTTGGTCGATTGGTTGGCCGGTTGGCTGGCTGGCTGGCTTTCCTTTCGTCCGTTTTAACTGTGTGAAGTAAATTGGAAAATAAAGTTAAAATTAAAATGCATTAATTGAACTGTGAAATTTCAGGCGAGCGAATTGGGGGGTGGAGTGGGCGAATTATGAACGTCCATCGATGTGCAATGAAAACGATTTTAATTGTCAGCGTTTTAAGCGCGTTTAAAGTCGCGACAACTTGACAGCAGGATGATAATAAAGCCCAACTGTGCATTACCATATCCCTGTTATCCTGACCATATTTAAGGCCACATTTAAAGCCCATTTGAGATATACAAAAGGTGGTGCATCTGGACTTCCCCAAATGCCCAATTAGGAGATTTCTCCAACTGAGTTATCGCCTTTATGAGTGCAAAAATACATTCCCAGCTATATGCCACTTATCGGGCCATATTCAACGAACCAACAACTGTCCTGGTCCCACCCATTTTCCGAGTGCCTCTGGCCAGTGCTTTATGGCCAGAGACTGGATCTCGCTCTGGATTTCGGTTCCTCAGCGATGGCGCCTATCATAAGCAAATTGAAACATGTCGATATATCGCCGGGCGGTGGCTCCAATTGGTGGTTTTCGGAATCCGGTTTTTGCCTTGGTTCACACTCGTATTTGACTTTGGTCCGGCCAACAATTAAAACGAAATGCGCACAGTAATGCCAATTGGCGATTGCGGATATCTGCCAGGTGGAAGATGGAAGATGGAGCATGCCAGGGGATCGGGGATATATCTATCTATAGAGGGGACATTAGTTGGGGCACCTTTCGCTGTGGCGCGTGCGTCGACATTAGCCGCCGCAGCCACCACGCTGCTGGTCACTGTCATTACTGGAAAACATTACAAGTTTATTCCACTCGATCACTGCTCGGGAATTTTGATTGATAAATTACACTGCAAGAATGATGGCAGGCGAAACAGGTATTTAAAAGCGTTAATTATTGGGTAGAGAGAGGGGAGAGAGCAGATACAATTTGATATATAAAGATACCTTTACTGATTTCCTTATTAAATCCTTAATTCATCTTTGAAATATGATGATCTCTCTGTTTAAAAGATTTCCTAGGATTCGAATACAACTTTACTATGAAAGGTATCAGTCTCTTAAACATTTACTTTACAAAAACCCATTGGTATCTCGTATTATCCGATATATGTTCATCTTTGTAAATTTATAGCATTTTCTCCCGGTGACCCTGTGTGTAAATGCAACCATTAGCCTCACTGTACCGTACGCCCCCGCTCGAGTTCGTCGTAATCTCGCTGGCGCCTCGGCAAATCGAAGGCATTTCACTGTCATTAGCGCCACAAAACCGGCCACGTTATCGATGTGGCTCTCATTGCTGTGGCTGATGCTGCTGCTGTTGGCCAAACAGGTTGCCCGACAACTCTTTAGGCCAAAAAGTGTAGCACCACACACACACACTCCCAGTGTGGCCACAGCAATCCTGCGGTGTCGATGTACTTTTGATTTCCAACTAATAAACAAGAGCCGCTCGCTCCGTCCGCTGCCTTTTTGGCGTTGACAACGCAACTCTGGTATATTGGGCCAATGCACCAAACCCGAAAACCGGAATCTCCTTCACGCAAAACGAGCCGAGCCTGCGGTCACCCAAAAGCTGAAATTCGCCACAGCCCGGCCTTTCCCTTTCGTTGGCCTCTGATTGATATTGATGCAACTGCCACGGCCACTGGAACTGCAACTGCAACTGCAACAGAAACTGCCACTGTCTGTGCAATCTGAGAGCGATGTTGAATGCCAGCCATAGCCAGGGAGCTTCATTGGCATTCCATTCAGGTCGGGGTTCAGCTTGCCAATTGCTTGGCATCCTCTCACAAAAGAAGCAAATGTTTGGACGAAGTGCGCCGCATGGAAAGTATTCTGGGATTAAATTTTAAAAGAGTGAGCTTTAAAAAAATATTTATATATTTTGTAAAACTCATAGACATTCTGGTTCAAATGCAGCAACCCAACGACGAGCAAGTTAATCAAACTTATGAACGTCAAACTGCAACTCTAAGTACTTTTAAAACCCACAGAGCCATGCTGGTCAGCTATTAACTTTGTTGTTAACTGATGGTTTTCCTGGCTAATTTTCCCAGTTAATGCAATGCTGCTTTTTTTTCTTTTTCCACCCATTAGCCACTTAAGAGTATCTACTGGTTGTTTTCCCTCGGCGCTTTTCCACATTGCAGCTTAATGACGGGCGTTCCTGGGTGCTGCTGCTGATTGATTGTCAGTGTGTGTGTGTGGGTGTGTGTGGGCCGCCTTCCTTACCATATTTCCCCGCCCAGTCCTTGGACCGGAGTCCGCCCGCCCCGCAGTTAAAGAGATTTTCCTTTTTGTTGCATTTCTCTGCTTTTAAATTTTATTCCATGTTCATTTTCATTTCTCAGTGTTGTGTGTGTGTGTTTGTTGTTTTTTGTGTGTTTGTTGGCTGCTGTCCTCCGGTCCGCTTCCCTTTGCCATTCATTTTTATCTGCATTTGTATTTGCATTCTCCTGGCTTTTGTCTTTACTTTATGCTAAATTGGCTATTTTGTTTTGTTGCTTTGTCACTTAAACTTGTAAATTTGCTCGACCTCGAGGCCCCCGCACCTGACCACTGGCCACTGGCCACTGGCCACTACTGGCCACTATTGGCCACTTGGCTTGCTGGCTTAAATGTAACAGTTTGCTTGGCCGTGGTGGCCCGACCCTTGGCAGGGACTCGGAGTTATTGCTTTGCTGGGGCAGTGAACACGGGGTCGCTTAAGAGTTAGTTTTTGATTCTGTCTCGGCATCTCGGCTTCCTAGGCTTCTCGGCTTCAGTGGCGCTCCCCTTTTGGCCAGCTCCGAGGCCTCGTTTACGGCTAAAAGTGTTTCTTGTGGTTGTTGTTGTTGGTGGTGGTTGCTTACATTTCTCTTGGGCCTATGACTTATATATGTAAACCGTTTCTGCTTATTGTAACACGTATTGTATTTGTATTCGGTATTTGTATTCATTATCTTAATGGTAGGGGTTATTAGTGAGTCCTTTGCCCAACACTTTGCACTACAGATGAACACTCTGTCTCCCGTATCGTAATTACTCATTGGTTTAAAATTAATTTGCCACATTCGGTTTGTGTTGCACTTAGGAGCTAATATTTTCTTTAGTAATATACGTTTGTTGTTTGTTTGCTGGTTGGCTTCTCTTTGTTAGAAATAATACATTGTAAATATTACCAACGCAATGCAATGAATCATAAATACAGTACGCACTTGACCATTCAATTGTCCAGTAATTATTTTGTTAGTTAACATGACGACGTGTTTGTTTGCTGGCCTTGTTCGCACAAATGGCTCGCAAACCTAAGCTGACAATAAACGCAAGGATAAACTCAACTATACAGGGGCCACACACTGGCTCGGATACGCCTGCGGGCAATATCCTCTACATATGTGCATTCGTAAGGATTAATTAATTAATCTCAATTCAAACTTATCATTTTACAATGCTCCGTGATCGCTTTGCCAGAATTCTTGGAACTCGGCAATGTTTTTACTCGCTGTGTGGCTTAAATTGGCGTTAGGTTCTTCTAAGTATTCTTGTTTTTACATTGATCTCTTAGCCTACCGATATATGTATATGTATTTATATTTATTTATACGTATTGCGCATAGGATATAGTGTAAGTGTAGCTTAGATCGACTATGAAATAAATTACAAAAGCTTGGGCTTTGTACAAAAAATCCATTAGCATGCAAACACACACATCTGCTGATCGTTTAACTGAAATATTTTACAATAGCTGTCAATTAATTGTTTAAGTGGCCCTGGACTGTTATATTACATTCATAATGGCTTAATTTTCTCTCTGGAACTGCTACTTATGACACTTTGAATGGTGTTTCCTATTTGGTTTCAAACAACATTTAACACTTTTAATATTATATATATTATATATTCTTCGTTTTCCTCTTTGGGTTGAGCAATTCGCTACTTGAACATTTATGTACAATTATCGCTTATGTGGAGGGTACTCAATTTCTGGTTTTCTGGGGATTTTATAATGATATTTAGTTTGTGTTACAAAAATATCCGTGTGGTAAGGTGAAACGATTTGCTTTTGGTCCGTTCAAACGATTGGAAAACGATAAGAAACTATAATGTGCGGTTAATTTGTATAATTGAACGCAACTCGTTTATATTTAGACTCTTTTGATCATTCGCTTAATTTCATTTCCCAAAATATCTTACAGTTTGTTTGCTCGGGGGCAAACTTATCAAATGGAAGGAATTTGTTCGTGCCTGGTAAGTATTACTTCGTCTCTCTCGTCGCCGTTTACATTTACAATTTTAAACTATAGGTTTTCCCCTCTTCTCTCGTGCTTTTAGTTCTAAACATTTTCAAAATATTTAACAAAATCAGTCGCTTATATCGATTTCGATCTCGATCTCTCTTCATTATCGAAAAGGAACTTAAAGTATTCGTAATAATCAACTGTTAACAATGTATTTCCAAAAGAATTTCAAACTTTTCCTCATGTTTTCTTTTGTTTTTTTTTTTTTGGCATTTACGTTAAGCGCACACACATACACATTGACATACAGCGATAGGGTTACAGTTACACTTTCTACAGTTACTGTTCCTGTTACTGTTTGAGTTACATTGCATTTACTGTGAGAGTTACAGTAACAGTTACTCTAAATGTTAGCATTACATTCACCATTGCAGTAGTTTCAGTAACAGTCACAGTTACCGTTAAAGTTACAGTTAAATCTAAGGGTTATAGTAAAAATATTGGAATAGCTTAGGGACAAAGAGTGGTGTTGCCTTTTTGAAGAAATCTGAAAGAGGCGGTTTTTGAGAGTTCAGATCGGCCTTATCGTGGGGTCTCAGCCTAGGGCAATTTTGATGCTTGGCTAAATCGGTTACAGATACACATACATATAGCTATATAGAGTAGTTAGTTGTGTAGCATAGTCCACGTGGTAATGTCGAGTAATTGGGTAAGTCCATACATATACTTAGCCAAAGGGGTTAGATTACATAGAACATTTGGTGTGGTGTGGTGTGGTTTGGTGTGTTTCGTAGTAGTAAACGCTTCAGACAGGCACTCCCCAAGAAATCATTCACTCCGGCTCCCATTCACAGTCATCTCTCAGTCACACGGATGTCCTAGCCGACTTAAAACCTAATGGCGGATGCCGAAACTAAGGGCCAGAGCCACGACCAGGGTCAGAATCAGGGGCCCGCTGTCGGCGGTGCTGTTGAACACGGGAAAGTGTATCTGCTCCGGCCGGTTGAGCTCCTCCTCCTCGTCATCGTCGATGGCATTGGACAGCTGTCGATGACGCTTCGTGAAGTTCACATTGAACACGGCCTCGGCCACGCCGCCTGGGGACGAGACGATGAAGTAGAAGGTCCTCGGAACCCTCTCGTGCATGCTGACGTACGTGAGCCGCGCCTCCTTGCAAAAGGGCGTGGGCAGATCCTGGCAAGAGGGAGAAAAACCGATTATAATTCCCGTGGGTGAGGGATACACTATGGGATCCACTTACCTTCACTGAGTAGGCCAGAACCGTGCTGCCGTACTGATTTCCGGGCGTGAAGACCCGATCACCATGCAGCCAGCGGGCGGCATGAGCTGGAGGATTGGCACAGAACTCCACGTTCAGATGGAGCGGCGATCCAGGATAGGCAACGGGTGTGGAATTCAGGGCCATGGCTGTGGGAGCGCCTGGAAATCAAGCACAAAAATGTAAAATTAATATTATTACTAGGTTCCTTTAGGTTAAATTCTTAGAAAAAATAAGGTAAAAGCTGCTAGGATCGTATGGGAAATAACTTTTACAAGTTATCTTGTTAGATGTTTCAGAATACCGAGAAATTTATCCCATTTTCCAGTAGCTCTTTTCGACTGCAGCAATGAGAAACGAGGTGGATTAGTCCCGCAGAATTGCTATTGGAAACTTTTGTGAATCTGATTCCCTGTGGGCGATGGCATTGCCGCAGCCTTGGCTCGTTAGCCAGCCCCCTGGGAACTTTCTGCACTGAGATTCCCTAAGCAAACTTCTACGTAAGCCCGGCTACGTCGCACTTGGCACTTGCTAAGCCAATTCCGGCGCAACTGTACTCCGAGGCCAAGTTTGCTCGCATCAGCTGCAATTAAAGGCAGGGCGCAAAAGTTTAGTGCCACCGTTACCGCTGCCGCCATTGCCAGCATTGCCATCGCCACTAATTAAAAGCGTATCACCCGACAAATGTGCCACTTACTGCCACAGCATCCACCCGAACGCCCTTAAGCCCTCAAGGCCGATCTGCACCTCTGCTGGAAAAGCTGGGAAAGCTGGGAAAGCGGTGAGCGTGGTGTGGGAAAAATCAAAATAAATAGAGGACAACATGTCGAGGGGCCAAAAGGAAAAGTTGGCCCAAGAACGCTGAAACTTCATTAAAAAGTTTGCGCCAAAGCGAATTTTGTGGAACTTATGTGGGCCCAATGCCGGGCCAGAGTCGGGGATTATCTCGGTGAGATGCTAAGGCCTGACGATGTTGGCCAACACTGCGACAATCCAATTAGACACATGTGCCAACCCTTTCAGCCTCCCCCTCAACCCCCTGCCACCTCGGCTACTGCTACTGTTGCAGAGCATATTTAATTATCGAGAGAGGCTCGAAATTTTGCAATTTTCCCCATCATTGACCTGAGATAGAGCCCGACCTCAGCGAGAAGGTGTGGAGGTGATGGCCAAATAAACTTGGCCCGCAATGGCGACCCGGGCAAACCAAATACAAAATGGTCGAAAGTGTTAAGTGCAAATGAGTGTTGCAAGGGGGGCAGACACAAACAAAAACAAATCGAAGAACCACTCGTTCGACACTCGCAAATTTATAACCAGAGAAACCCCTGGGACCTGGGCGACTAACTGTAAAATCAATTAAAGCAAGTGCGGCAGGGTTGCGACTCCTGCCAAATTATGCGTTCAACGCCATTTTGTCGAGCCCAGGACCTCGACCTCTCTCTCTCTCTCTCTCTCTGCCTGGGCAAAGCCCGGCGAAAAAGTGTAATTTATTTGACAGCCAAAAATGATTTTTGCATGAGCCCTTTTACCCCTCTTATCCCGTTCCCATTCGCCCAGCTCTCAAAGAGATTTAAATTCTATTTTGATTTGCAGCCAGTGAACCGTGTGCCAGCATTTTACCCCCGGAACCAGAGCCCAGGTGGATGGCTGTCGACGTCGATGCCCCCAAGGTCAGTGCTTTGGTCATTGGTGCGACTTTTAATTTGATTTCCACGCCGTGAACCCGGGGGCACCAAATAGAAATGGGTTTTCAATTGCCCGCAGTCGGAGATGGAGGTCAAGGGAGTGGGAAATCATCCCAAGAAACACTGGAGTATTTCTCCTCCAAATAACTTGGTTGCTCTCAGCCAATCTTCGGAAAAGCCATGCGTGATAAAAACAACAACAATCATCGACAAAGAAAAATAGTCGGGACGACGACTCAATTTGTGGATCGAAAAGCAAGGCAAGAGCAAACAATAACAAGACAGAAACAGGAAACTGAAAAGTTGTGTTCCCCCAAGTAATTGCAGCTCTCGCGAATGAATGCGAAAATTCAATTATTTTCGGCCATTATTTTTTCTTTCTTAATTTTTTTCTTGTTTGTCGAGGGCACACTTTCCAACACTGTCTCGTCCCTGTCCCCCAGGTCCTTTTGCATGCAAAACGCATTTTATGCAGCCGCGTAACAACAGCGAAGGGGAGATGGCAGGGAGAAAAAAAGAAGGACATCAGCTTTCGGGGACGTGCAATCAATGGGATGAAGTCAGTTTCGAGTTCCAGGACTCGTCCCTCCTTCCGACCGAAGTGTTGCAAAACGTTTTCCTTTGTTGGTGTTGCTGCTGCTGCTTCTCTGTGGATACTGACTGCCTCACCTCTTTGCAAAGTTTCCGCACAAAAGGCAACTACGAAAAATTAAGTTAACTTTTTCGGGCAACGGGAATTGAGTAATTTTCAGCCGTAAAACTTTATTATTTCGGACGCAGGACTTTGCCTGCCCCAAAACCCAGACCCAGTGCACCCTCCCTCCATTGTTGTTGCAGCAATTGTAGAACATGCAAAGTTGCTGTTATTGTTTAAATATTTATTTTCAGCTGTTGCAGCTGTAAATGCTGGCAGGAAAAGTTGTCTAGTGCCCGAAAGTGGGCAAAAACATGCAAATTTCATTGGGCCGGCGCTGAAAAGAGGAACCGCCAAAGCAACTCCTCAGGCAATGGGCCAAAGCAACATGTAATTACATTAAGCCAGTCGAATTTAGCAACATTTCTGAATGGTTTTAAGCGCACAAAGCCAAATGCTCTAGTCTTGTTTAGACAAATAGAGTCCTTTGCGAGAAGGAATAAAATAACAGACAAAATACTAATGGGCGGAATAAGGTTCACGGTTTGTTTTCGGTTAGTCATCTCATAGAAACTGATGAGGCAAGACTTTATTATATAAAAAAATACCCATTTAAAACTCAACTCATGGTACTGATAACTTATAAACGATCTCTCCTGCAATTTTAATGAACCCCCTGAAAGTGCCAAAATGCCAATGAAATGCCAGAGTTCTTTAGATTAGTGCCAGCCATTACAGGTGAGCGGCGGTCGAAACATGCCCAGGGGGCTCTAAGACTCCGGCTGAGATTCCGATTCCGGCGGAGAGTCCGGCTAAATGTTATTAAGTATGCAGGGCTCCGGCGGAAGGACGAGGGCGGAAAACGCTAAGATAACAGGCAATCCGACAGGCAGCAAGTGAAAATAACAATCATAATATTCAATTATGCAATGGTAGCCCGAGGAGCAGCACGACCGGGCCCAGAGCCAGAGCCAGAGCCAGAGTCATGCTTGTTCCATGTTGTGCCCCTGAATAATTAATAAACGTTGTGTGCACTTAATGCAAAAAGCTGCAAATAAAATTACCAACCGCCGAGACAAAAAAGCTGCCGCCGGCTCGTTGTACGCTGAAATCATTGCCGGCTCGATTCGTTTGGAAAAACAAAGCGAACTGGACCGGAGCGAGGCTCAAATTGAAATTACGTGCCCGGGCTGAGCAATCAAAGAGGGATTAGCGGCTGTTTTTGCTTTTAGTTTGCCATTTGTCACCTGCCAATTTTGGGACCTGGCCAGTGCCCACCTTTTCGGCGCTTTTAATTGAATTTATTGTCGCCGAGGTGGTCGCTGAATTATTGATTGCCCCGCTGACAAGCTAACCCGGCCGAGGATGCCACTCTGAAGCAGGTCCAAGAGAGCCTTTCAGGCTTTTCAGCATTTATCTTAAGTTTGGCAACTTTTAGGGCCAGCAAGTCTAAGCTGCTCAAAAATTAATGAGGGGGCGTTGCCAATGGCGTTGGCGATGGTACTATTTAGCCGAAAGGTTGTGAAAACTTTGCCAAGTCATCTGGTGTGTTGTGGTTGGCCGTGGGTTTTGTCAGTCGAAACACGCGTTTTCCTGCGGCTTAGAGAATTTTCAATGGAATTTACTTGGTAATACACTCGAAATAAGAATTGTAGAGTGATAAATATGCTTATGGTTATTAAGATATTTTGTCAGTCGAAACACGCGTTTTCCTGCGGCTTAGAGAATTTTCAATGGAATTTACTTGGTAATACACTCGAAATAATAATTGTAGAGTGATAAATATGCGTATGGTTATTAAGATATTTCTTGTAACTTATTAGTAAAGCAAAAGGTAGAATATTTAGTAGAAAATTCTCAAGTTAAGCAAGACAAAACCAAATGTTTATTATATTCAGACAGTTAAGACATTACATAATACGGTTTTCCAGCTGGGCAAGTTGCTGGCTTATGTCCAGTGGCAGGTTGGGGTAACAGGCCCCCATGTAGGTGAGAGCCTTAGCCCAGTTCCGCAAGTGCCGCAAAACGCCAACTCTGTCGGGGTACTCCGCTTGGTTAGCATCGGCCGCCCTTAGGTCCAAGTATTCGGCATACGCAACCTCCATGGCGGCGAGCAAAACGCTGGGCAGGACCTCCTTGATCTCCGGACCCATGATCTCGAGACTTGATATGCAATTTTTCACTTCCCTGCTGTGGAAAGGTATTATCGAATTGGATTTCAAAATAGCCGATGCCGAACGCATTTCTCCCGCGTGATAGTAATCGAAAAACTGCATCAGCGCTGATAGCATCATGTACGTGGTAATCAAGTCTTCGTCTAAGGACAGAGTCAGGTCCACAAGCTCAGAGTCCAAGCGCTTTACGGCTCTGGCCAGCCGCTCCCGCAGGGTTCCGGCACGCGGTATCTGGTGGACCACCTGGATGAGCAGGGAATTTACCAGGCGCATCGCCTGTTCCACCTGTCCGGCAATAAAATAGAGCTTGATGGCCGCCTCGTAGTTGGTGCGCCTGGAGAGTTCATCGCCCATTATGGCGGCCAGCGAGTACTTGTCGCAGTCTTTGAAGTTGTCCAGCACGCCGCCCCTTAACTGATAGGAATTGACCGTATCCCCGACCCCGAAGATCAGCTGCAGCATCTGGTCGTCGCCCATCTCAGCAATCAGGTCGCAGAGGCAAACAACCATGGCATTGTTTCCGTTCTTGTCCTTGAAGTGGCGCAGCTGGTAGTAGTAGTGCAGGGCCTCGGCGGTATCCGACTGTTCGAAGGATTTGGTGTACATGGTGATCAGACGCACCAGATTGAGACGCTTCATCGGCGGTGGGTCAGAAGGTTCGCTAC